GTGGGTTGGGGTGGGGGGGAGGGTGCTGGGCTAGAGAGGGAGCCCTAGTTGGACTTTAGAAAGCCACCTCTAATGCTTCTGGAATGAAGTGGTACAAATAAAAAAATCAACAGACTTTGGGAAGCACTTTTTGGTACTGAAGGTAAAATCTCTTTGCCTCTCCCCATCCTCCCAGTACCCCCCTGACAAAGAGTCAGAACCCACCAATTCCTTTTTTGGAGTTTATTCTGGAGCAGCTGGGCAGATAGTGACCCCACACTTGTAGGGCAGGGAGGTCAGCGCAGGGGGTCCTAGAGAGGAGCCAGAGCAGGGAGCCGCCAGCAGGCTAGCAGGGCTGCAAGCTCTAGACTGTGCCGTAGAAGCGTGAGTAGGCCTCCTGGAAGCCAATGTGGTCAGCCAGCTCGTCGCAATCAGGGTTGAGCTCACACACTTCCCTCTTGGGCTCCAGGGGATCTGGGTAGGGGGCTGGGGCTCTGAGAGCCCAACACAGTGGCATCAGCCTCCATGCAAACTGCTCCCCTCCCCTCCTACTGCACATGGGACTCTGGAGTCCTCACCAGTGGCCCTCCCTGGCCTCCCAGCACCTTTTATCTCACCCCAGCCCGGGACCCAGGTAGCGCCGGAGTCTCTTCACCACCTCACTGCCCTCTTGCTTGGACATGAAGGCTGTGGAGCAGAGGGGCAGAGGTCAGGTTGCTGAGTTTGGGAGGATAAGGTGGGGAGTAGGGTGGCCTTCCTGATAGCCAGACAGGAGCCAGCAGGAGGGGGGAATGGGACTGAGGGGACCAGGGGAGGGAGTGCTGGGCAGCTGGGTGATATGGCAGAAAGCCCCCATCAGGCCTGTCTCCTACCTGCACCTCTGTTAGACTCTGCACCACTGGGCTTTGCATCTGCAAAGGAAAGGAGCCTGGTTTACTTCTGCTAACCCGTAGGCCCCCCTCCTCCCCTGCCTCTCTGGCAGCATGCTCTTCACTTCTCCTTCCACAAGGACAGACCTGGGGGCAAATGGATTGAGCCTGCAGGGGGGTGATTATCCAGCCAAAGGAACTGCCAGTGGAGGGATGAGAAGTGAGTGCTCCCCTCCTCATTGGCTGGGGCAGAGTTGGGGACACTCACCTGTCTGGCCAGCGAGGCAGAGTGCAGCCAGGGCCAGTAGGGTGAGGAGCACGAGGGGCCTCATGGTGTGTCTCAGATGCTGCGTTGGGTCTGTTGCTGGGACTCAGCTGGCCTGTTTCCACCAGCCTCCAAGCACCATTTATAGTCTCCGGGCTGTGCCCTGGAGGCCAGGGTGGGGGCGCCTGGTCATGGTGCGGTCGGGTCACAGGGGACTCTGCCAGGGCTATTTGGGAGTCATCCGCTCCAGATCTATAGGCCAAACCCCAAAGGATGTTGTGGTTGGAGCCTGGGCAGGCCCCTGGGAGTGAAGGAGGAGGGTGGGTAGTAATCTGAGACTGCCAGCCTCTGGATGCCCCCAACTCTTCCCTAAGGGGGCCACCCCGGGTCCCCCAGCCTCTACTCTCTTGGAGACCCAACCTCATCCTGTTTGAGCACCAACTGAACAGGCCAGAAGAGGTGTGGGGGGACACAGAGAGGAAGGGGCCCAGAGGTCCAAAATAGAAGGGCGCAGAGCTGGGCTATAGCTCTCTCACAGATTGTGATTTCCACTGTCAGCCATGGGCAGGAGCCAAACCCCAGGGAGGGAGTGCCCGGCGATGGCCTCATTCACCCTTTGAGACACCAAAGGCAGGGCTGGTGTGGGGGCGGCTTGACTGGTCAGGCCCTGTGCGGCAGGACAGGAGAAATGGTCAGGTGGCACAGGGCCACAAGCCAAGAGCCAACACAACCAGGGCTGGGCATGAGATTAAGTATAGCTCTCTGTCTGGGGCAGGCCAGGTGGTCAGTGTGGCAGGGACCACCTTCCCTGTGCCCCTCACAGGGCCTTTGAGGAACAGGGAGATGGAGAACACATCTGGGCTCCTGACCCTCTGATTCTCTTCCTGTCCTTGCAGCTCCCCAGTATGAAAAACCTTGAGGACATACCCTCCAGGGGACAGAACATCCAGCCTGAAAAACCTCATCCCACACCTGAGCTCTGCTTCTGCCTCAGCTCAACCTGGAGAGGAGGAGCATGTGCCCCCCCCCCCC